AAAGAAAAGTTGAGATTTATAAATTTGCAAAATCAACCAAAGGCAACCACAAACACAACCTTAAAAACCATAAAGATAAAAGCCAAGGTAAAATGCGTTTGGAGAACCAATCCCCTGTCTTTCAATGCCAGGACCCAAATATCGAGAGGCTCTGAGAAGCTGTGGCTGTTTCTCCTTGGACCACGGAGGGGTCATGGCCCAGCTCCCGTCGAAAGTGCACATCACCTCCCACCCCATCTGTCTGAGGATCCGTGGGCCCTTGGTGTACCAGGACGAGACGAAGCGCATGTGGCTGCAACTCGACATAGAAACAGGAGGTGTCCGGCAAGTACGGTTGCGCCAGGAAGACATCCCCAGTGGACATATCGCACTCACAACCAGCCCAGAGACATCGAGCACTATGCGGTTCCATTGGACGCTCAACCCTGGAAACCAGTACCTGGACAGCGTAGGCCGGTTCTGGCACATTGTGCACCACATCAAGGAGGATGGAGTGGAGGAAATGATCCTTGAGCTAATGGACGACTCATAGGACATGTGATTTGGTCCGTGGCTCTTGTCAACCTGAGCCCCAGTCGTGCATGCCTGGTGGTGGGATGTTTATAGTTCTGTTCTCCTTTTTACTAAGCTCTGTTGTTCTATCTGCCACCCCCAGGGTGTGAGGCACATTGATATCTCTATCTCTCTGTCTCTCTGTCTCTCTCTCTCTCTCTCTTCTCTCTTTCTTCTTCTTCTTCTTGTTGTTGTTGTTCTTCTCCTTCTCCTTCCTTCCTTCCTTCTCCTTTCTCTCTCTCTCTCTCTCTCTCTCTCTCTCTCTCTCTCTCTCTCAGATTTGCTTATAAGCAGATAATGCACCATGAATGTTCCTCTGTTCATGAAAACCTTGTAGAGTTGAGGTTCATGTTTTCAAACTTTTTAAGGAGTTTGCAAAAGCTTCTGCTGAAGCTTTCACTGTGAATTTTCTTGGGGGCTTCTCCTTTTCCTCTCCTGCAGTTGCCTTTTCTCTTGCCTCTTCAGCTGTGTGTTCCTATCCCAGTCCCAACAATTCCTCATTACTTAATTCCTCGGGAATCACCTCTAGGAGCTCCTCTGTGTCACCCTTATCCATGCCAGGTTGAAGTTGGTTGCTGTCTCAACCACAGCCTTGTTGATTTTTGCAATCTTTGTGCTACAACTTTACGATAGCTATGACGTCACTAGGTGAGAGGAATTTTTGAGTTCCATTATAATTTTATGGGGCCACCATGGTATATGTGCTCTGTGGTTGGCTGAAAAGTTTTTATGTAGAGTATGATTATAGTTCCTATTTGGCAATGGTAAACTGACGCATAGAAGGGAATGCTCTTTCAGCCACTCTGCAAGGCACACAGGCAAGAGGACACTGTTTCTGTGCTTACCTTGAGTTGGCTCTGTTCTCCCCCTTTCCTCCCATAATTCTTGAAGGATTTAAAAAGGTAAATAGGAAAAGGTGGTAGAAAAATCTGTCCATCAGATTTGGGTAACATTTTGTTTTTCTTTCTTATTTCTCATTCCTTACTAGAAGAAGGTACCCTTTTGGTTTTATCAGCCGGTGTTTCCCTTGGAGCTGCCCTAGGAGCCCCTGGGGGAGGTGGGAACACCTGGCAAGCTTTGCAGTTCTGTCCTGAAGAGGTGGGTGTGATTGCCAAGGCCGCTCTGCTGCCTGTTGTTCAGCCTCCTCCTCTGGGGTGTCCCAGTAAAGAATCTGCACTGGCGGCGTTGGCTGCTCCAGCTGGCCCTGGAGGTTTGGGTCTTCGGGCCATTCTGTCTCCTGGGCATGGGGCCACCCCTGGTCAGTGCCAGCCACAGCCCCTGCAGAGAGGCCCAGGAAGCAGCAGCCCGCCCTGAGTCCAGGCTGTGTTCTTAGTATCTGCTTCCACTTTAGGCATTGCTCTCTCTGCAAATAGCATAACACCCAACACCAGCCTGAAGAGAGCTCTGAGCCCTTCTGCCTGATACTGTCCTGAGAAAAGGGGGAAGAGATAGAGGTTTTAGCTGCTCACCAAATAAAGTGAGGCAGCGGGAGATGCCAAGAGAAGATGGCATGAAGCCACCTGGCCCATTCCAGCCAAGAGGACCCCAGCTAAGACATTGACAAGAATAAGCTGCCCCACAGCAAGCCGGTGAACAGGGTACCCCTTCCCACGGAGGGCTTCTGAGCTCCTCAAATCCCAGAGTCATTTACTCTCCCCAGGAAAGTTTCTTGCTGCCCAAGCTGGCCACTTTTGCAGGGTGACCTCCAAAATGCCGTCCGGGGCAGCAGTCACAAGGATCTGGTCCTGACTCATCCCCAGCAGACTCCCTGTTGATCTCATTGATAAAAAACCTGCAGCCACTGCCGCCACTGTGCACCTGGGCAGCCAGCCAAGCCCAGCTTCATTCACTGCTAGGCGGCAGGGCTGTGGGGAGTCGGGTAGGGAAGTGCAGGGGGATGAGGCCAGGGAGGAACAGAGGCCTGAGATCTGGTCCGGACTAAGTGGAACCATGAGCACCGTCCAGCGGGTGGCCACCTGGACAGAGAGAAACCCAAATCCTGAAGGCCATAGGCCTGCTAGAGGATCCAAAAGTAACCCAGCCACGGTACTCACCCTCTGTGACTCCTTTCCTGCAGAAGGCCTGTGGGGACCAATTGGATCAGTTCTTCTCAAACCTTGGGCCACATCAGAATTCCCTGGGGTGCTTTAAAAGATACAGATTTCCACATCCCACCTAGAAAATCCGACTTAAGAGTTGGCCCCAGAAATCTGTATTTTTAGCCCATTCGCCAGGTGTTTCTTGGGGCCCACCAGTCATGGCCAGGCCCTGCTCCCCTCCAGGTGCCAAGACAGGACTCAAATTGAAGCCGAGCCCGAAAGCTACAAGGCTCGACAGCTGCTCATTGGGATAACACCTTTGGGACCTACGGATTGCTTCTGTTTAAATCTCCAATCATCTCACGGCTATAGTAGGACAAATGCAGACCACACCCGGCATGGGCATGTTGGGCTCTTGTCACTGCCTGTCACTTACAGGCATGTCTCGGAGATACTGCGGTGCAGTTCCAGATCCCTGCAATAAAGCGAACATCGCAATAAAGTGAATCACGAGTGTTTTGGTTTCCCTGCGCATATGCTTACACTGTACTCTAGTCCATTAAGTGTGCAGCAGCAGTGTGTCTAAGAAACTATGGGTCTCTATGGCAGTTACTACACTTCAGGCTTCTTTCCTGCTTAAGTCTCCCTGGCCCTCGCTGGCTCCAGCTGGGCTCTGGGCCCTCCCTGAACTGGTCACTGTGGCCAGGGCAATGAGAGCTCCGAGTGGCCAGATGTGAGTGACCAGATGTGAGTGACCTGCCTCCTCACCAGGGGCGGCCTGGCACACATGTGACGTACTAGTAGCTGGTGGCCCAAGTTCATGGCATTGGTCAATGGCCTCATAGAGTCACTACATAGCAAAATTTGGTACATAACTTTAGAGAGTGAGGAACGGTTTTTATTGTGCTTGAAAAACATAGTTATGTCAATGAAACTTGGCTCCCATTTCTGTTGAATCCCCCAACCAAAAATCCCCCCAAATCTTGAGAGCAATGTTTCTCAGATTTTAGTGTGCATCAGGGTTGGTGTACCAAATTCTGAAAATTTAGTGCACAGTCACCTGGAAGGTTTGTTAAAATACAGATTCCTGGGCCACACCCCCCAGAGATTCTGCCTCAACAGGTGTGGGGTGGAGCTTGAGAATTGGCATTCCTAACAAACTCCCAGGTGGCGCTGACCCTGCTGGTCTACCCTGAGTAGTGAGATTCAAGTTCAACAGCTTGAAAAGGACTTGGTCAGATCTCTGTGGAGAGATTCTTCCTTTAAACTCCCATGATTCGCTGAGGCTGGGCAGAGAGTGTATTGCTCTCGGTCCCCTCCTCTCATCTGGACTATGTGACCACCCAGGAGATGGTCCTTTAAACTCCCATGATTCGCTGAGGCTGGGCAGAGGGTGTATCGCTCTCGGTCCCCTCCTCTCTGGACTATGTGACCACCCAGGAGATGAGACTAGAAACTTGCTGAGAATCCTATAGGCTCTGAAACACCCTTCTCTCTACTGGTAAGGAAGAGACTTTCACAGGTGACTTCTAATCAGACACAGAGGAACCCTGGACGTAGGGTGAGACCTGCCTTTTTCCTTGCTGCTGTGAGCTGTGGCACTTTGAGGAAACCACTGACCTCCCTGTCCTCAGTTTCCCCATCTGCAACATTAGCTCATTACTCTCCTCCCCACCTCCGCCACAGGATGCCGGGTCTGACAGTGTTTTGTAAATGACCCACCACCATCTGCACACATGTAAGGAGCTGTTACTATCAATACCTGTGAAATCCTTATTTGTGCTATTTCTGGGCATAACCGGGCATTTCAGGCCTTTGCATTCTTCATCAAGATCCCCAGAATACAGCCGGGGTTCTGGAAGTTTAGCTGTAGACCAGCACCTGCTCTCAGGCCTCTGGGGTTCCTCTCCAGGCCACCCTTTGTGTGGATGGTCTGAGCCCAGCTCACACCTTTCCCTTAGGAGGTTGACCAGCCTTTTTGGGTGCAGAGATTTGGCCTTGAGCCTCCATCTCTGCTGGGGCCACATACTTTGCTCAGAGCCTGAGGCAAAGAGCTCTGCCAGTGTTTGATCTCTGGGCTCCTGTGTGGCTGATGAAGGGCCCGAGCTGTCACAACATGGAAAGAGAATATGATGATGCTGCTGATGCTGGTGGTGACGCCGATGGTGCGAGCTGGAAATGGGGTGCTACGTCATCGTTGTCATCATCATCATCATCATCTGAGCAGCCACCAGATGGCTTGTACCTATGCTGGGCTGGGCACTGGGCCGGGTTGTCCATACTTTGGCTCTCAACCTCAGGGCAGCTCCCTAAGGTAAGTCATCATCTCCATTTTACAGATGAGACTGAGGCTCAGAGAGAATCTGTTACTGGCCCAAGGTCACACTGCTACTAAATGTGTATGGATCTGAAACGCTGATGCTACCACCTCCTTCTCCCACACCACCTCTCAGGGTTTGGCCAGCACATGCGCAACATACCCCAGGAGAAGCCTGTCTTACTGATTATTGCAAGTGAACAGTCAAGGCGGGGCTGTATGTACAGGGATGAGCATGCTGGGTCAGGAGAGAGCACAGAGCAGCCCTGGTCACTAAATGTCACATTCAACCTGTCACCTCTGTCCCCATCAAAGGCAGGAGGAAGGTGGGACAGGCCCAGGCAGTTTGCAACCGTCCCATCTGGGGCCTCCCTGGATGCTGGTACCTTTAGGGGCCTGAGCTCAGAGCCAGGGTCATCTCCCATTCTCTCCAGTTTTAAGCTGTTGTCAGCTGACCTTCCTAGAAAGCCACCCATGGCTCCCTGTTGCCTATAAGATAGAAGCCCAGCTGCTCAGCTCAGTGTCAGACCCATATTCTCTGGCTCCCAGGACTTGAGCCTCTTGGGGCCACATCCCACCTGGAGCTCTAGACAAAAGGAGCTTCCTCCTGTTTTCCATAAATGT